TGTCCAAAGCAGTTGACTCAAGGTTTTTACCTACTGAATTCTCTTATCCTTGATATTATATATCTCTAATAAACCTTACAATTAAACCAAATTATCCAAAGCCTCTTTCAACGTGTTTGTGTAACCTATACTATCCTTGAATTATCAACTTTATTATACCACGACCGAGGTATTTTCCCTTAACTTAAAGTGGATTACTGCTATAGTTGTCCCGTCTATCTATCTGATTTGGAGGTTATTGGATAGGTTGATAATACCAGGTCCAAACCAGATCCTATACACTATTTATAAATATATTAAAACAAGGACCAAAGAGAAGTTTGACAAATTTTCAATACTATTATCAAGCTAGGAAATACTGTATCTTAAAAGAATAGAGTAGAGGATTTATATATCCAATATCAAAATAAAAGACTGGACAAATAATCTTGATATTATCAAACCAATTATACTATTGAATGCAAGAAGAAAAATCTTTACAAAAATTATTATAGATAGATTAGCAAAATATTTGACCAAAGACAATATATTATTAGAATTAAATTGAATAGTTTTTCCAGATAATAGTACACAAGATCTGATTCACATAATTAGAATATAATAGAATATATAAAAGAATACAAACTATAGGCATAAATACTTAGTTAGAATATGTTAAATGAATACAATCCAGTCAATCTCAACATACTAAAGCTAGCACTTTAAAGAATCAAAATACTTGATCAAATAATCAGAATTCTTTTTAATATTTTTTAGTATTGAGAAAACAGAATTTTGATTTGCCATAACTTAACTTCTGCTACCAAGTTAAAGATAGCATAGATCAAGAAAACGCTATCTTTTCATACTCTGAAGAATCTTTTATAATCCATTACTGAGTATAATTATTTTTTGATACAAAGGCTATATAATAAACTCAAAGTATGCTCAAATCTCAAAATTGGATAGGAAAAAAAATCAACCAATATTGTAGTTAGCATATAAATAGATAATATAACATAGATAATAAATAGTAGAGCAGATTTTCAAAGAATTATTTATACTGCTGAAAAATTCTATTACATTAATGATATCAAAGTCAACTCCAAAAATTACAACTAATAATCATCAATGATTCAAAAGAAATTTTTTAACAAGGGGTCATAATAAACAATTAAAGAATTGAAGAATAATATTTCAATATACCAATTATAATTCCAGGAGTGTGATATGACAATTCAAGATGATAAAACTATCAGAAATTTCTTATAAGACAAAAAGTAACTAAAACATAAACACTTATAGGTATAAAGAAAGTTATTGACAAGCAAGCTTAATATATAATCAATTATGTACTAATGTCTAGTATCAAATACCTATGTAATAGTATCATACTAACAAGAATGCAATCAACTGATAAGCAAGATAGCTTCTATCTTCAAATACAAGATAGATCTTACAAATATGACCCTAAATAATATTCTATATAATAAATATAAATATCCTATAATGCACATATGAGATAGATAGATATAACTATATGCTAATAATTAATGTACTGGAATTATAAACAAAATATCATAGAAGGTATTACAAGTCATTAACTTCAAATAGTACAGAATATATATTGATCCATTAAAATAATCTATAATAGTATACAGGCACCCTTTCTTGAATCAGATAGGAACCTTATGTATGATATGATCTGATTTAGGATATATAGTTTTACTTTTCAAAAAATATAACATAGTAATATTCAAACTATTATGGAAGCTGACTCCACTATTGAAGATATTATAGATTTAAAATTCTATAAGAAAATTTGTTCAAGTCTAAAAAAGTATAATATTATGTTTATAGAACAACTCCTAAACAATAATAGGAAAAAATCTCTCAAATAGTGTCAAACTATTAGATTGCATAATAAAGTCCTATCTGTTCAATTCTGATTTGATTCTTTACTCTTTAACAACAACTTCAAAATTGGATACAGACTATAAACATCTAATAATAAAGTAAAACTAATTCCTTTCTTCAATATATACTTACAACTAAAACAAATACTGTAAAACCATACTGGATTGCAATAGAAATTAATAATAAAATGGTAATTAAAAGAAAACAAAAAAGAATTGATATCAATAAAATTATATACAGGCATTACGTCCAAGAACTCAAAGCATCTTTACTAATAGAATACATAGAATGCAATATCAATCAATCAATCTATTCATGTACTTTTAGTATCTCAAGATGAGACATTGTAATAATCTTTGTATAACAAAGTAGAATCTTGTTATGAACCAATATAGAAGATACTACTAAACTCAGAAGCAGGGTCTCATCCAACTTGATCAGTACAGTATTTAAAGAATACTTCCAATAGGCAATAATTGATAGCAGACAAAAATCAATTATCCAAATAATCAAAGAAGACATATATACAACATACTTGAATAAGTTCTTAAAGACACCTAAGTCAATTATAGATGAACTAGTAGATATCATTAAACAAATGCAAGATAACATTAATTTTAAAATCTACACAGATGAATTTCTGTTACAATATTGTAAAAAGATGCTACATGTAAAGATAGATCCCTAAAGGAAGAGGCAGGAATAAAAGTCAAATGTTCCTTACTAGGAAAAATTAAAATTTTTAAAATAATAACTTTAAATAAACTACCTACAATTATTCTTTATTATCCAAATTATTGATTTATAGTATTTCCCGACTTTTGTCCTTATTAAAGTAAAGAGTTATAAATTTTGTCCCTCAAAAAGGGTCATAAGTGATCTGTGAAATTTTATATGCTAAATACTTTGGAAACCTATCATTAGCTACATGTGATTTAAATAGATAATCATAACTAGAATAGATCAAGAAATATGTTTTCAAGAACAAGTGGAGAATTTTTCTTTATTAACTAAAGTTGAGCTAATGATTATTTTAATAGTTACTAGTACATTACTTCTATTCAGTAGAGCTGATATCTACATAGATAGTCAAGTCACAATCAATAGTATTCATAAAGTAATCCAAACTAACTACATTAACAATTTAAGAAAACAAAAAAATCTTGAAATCTTATAACAGTTGAAAGACTTAATAAAAAAAATCACCTTAAACTTAACTTTATAAAAATTTAAGTGCATTTAGATAATAAACACAATAACTATACAGATCAATTGGCAAAAGTGGATATAAGATTGGAAATAAGATAAAAAAAAAAAGAATATTGAAGTTTGTCCTATATAAAACCTACAATTTACACTTATTTTGTAATAGAACAACAGAACCTTAGATATCTCTATAAAGAAAATAACTTAAAAACTTATAAAAATCATATATCTTGTAAGATGAAGGTTACTCAATAGAACAAGAACTGAATTTAGTAATAGAATTATCAGAGAAATTTACTGGCCAATAACAATATACCTATTGTAGCCAACACAAATAAGTGAATAACAAATCAACTGGGAAGACTAGCAATAGAGAAAATTCAATTTGTACTTCTGGAACAAAGAACTACTCACTAAAATCAAACTCCACTCATGCTTAACAAACCTATATACAGATAACAAATATATCTAATGTGAAGAGAAAGAGATTAATACCTATCTCTTTACATGTCTAGAACAAGAACAGATAGAAACTATTATAGTCAAGAAACTAAGATATTATAGTATGATAAAAGATCTTGAAATACAGATCTCCAAATACAGAAACCATATATCCTTAAAATATACTGAATATCTCAAGACCACAATCAAAGGTGCAATCCTACAAGAGATGTATTGTATAGTAATACACTGCATCTCAAACAAATAAAGCAAGTTCCACTAACTTAAGGAGATCAAACAAGAGATGAGTCAATACCTCTATCAAATCTGAAAATCAAGATGCGCAGACTTCCAGAAATAAAAAACTCAACAAGAAATTACTAGAAAGTTAGAAAAAACCCCAAATACAGCACACCAATCAAATACGACTGGCTCGATGAAATGGACAAACATATCAAAAACCAATACATTGATTTGATTAATAGCTATATCAGGAAATAAAGCATAAACATCAGACACTCTTCAAAATTTTATACAGCACTAGCCCATCCTTGGCAGGTTAGCTTCCTTCTAGGGTGGCAACAAGTCACAAGGTGAAGTATTTCTATCAAACTGAATTTGGTTAACAGGTAGTCATAGCATAAACCACATATGTACATATCTACTTAATCCAAATAAAGTAAGGCTGAACTAGTTTTCAAAAAAAAAAAGAAAAATATTCTCATTTTATGAGATCAAAAATTTTTTCACTATAAATATATAACAAACATAGTCGATGCAAGTCAGTCGAAAGATAGCTTGTGTTAGTTAGGATAACCATTCACTCAATCAGTTGATAAAAAATTTTTTCGTATCTATTATCCTAACAATAGCAAATATATTTCACAAAAAATATTATATAAGTTGCTATGTCAGACACTTCAACACCAGCTACCACTTCCAATGAGATCGAAGAAAAACAAGCTCCCACTTTAGCCGAGGTGTTCAGAAAGTTAAATACAGAAAAGCTTATCAAATTTTTGTGCAGGGAAAAGACTTGCAATTTGACGAAGACGATCACAAAATCCTCCATGATGAGAAGATTACCAATCGAGATTTCTTAAGTAGACTGAGGAAAAACTTCATAGCTATGGTATGAAGGGAGGGCCTGCTTTAAGAATTGCTAACCTCACTAAGGAGGTCAAGGAGAAAAAAATGAGGTCATTTTCCTCGTATCGCAGTTTGAAAGAAATGCTGGAAAATATGGTATGGAATCCCGAAGGCATAGACATAATTCCATTATTCGAACTGCTGATCTCAGAAATTCAGGATGACGATGTATATTTTGAAGAATGTATCACGGAAATTAACAAAAGGTTAAGAGACTACGGGACTTTATATCCGGATAGTTTGGAAGCCATGCATAATGACTATGTTGTTGCAATACTCCATACTGCACTTCATATCGTCAGGGATGATACAAAAAGAGAATTTAGCATGAGGCCACAGCAAGAAATTATCAGTGAAGAAATTTCAGGGTGTGTCGATTATGCAATTAAGGTATAGGTTATAGATTTTACTGAAAATATACTAGTAAAACTGGTTTTGCTAACATTTAATTATTCTAGGATTCTGAGGATCTTTTTGTACCACAGAGGATAAACAACATAAAATTCATATGGGCTTTGCACAGAATATTAAACAGCTAGAAAGTTCATTCAAAATAAAAAAGAGAAAATGCAAGCGGGATGAGGCATTTGATTATCTCTATCCATAGGACGAGATTGGCACTTCATGCTATATAGTCCTGGTGAAATTGCACAGGCAAGTGAATTAGCCTATACGATCGAATTTAACAAAAAATCCTTGAATAAGAACTCGGAAGAATGTCAGGCTTTGTGTAAGAATGTGAAAATTTTTTTGGAAATGATTGTCGGATTATTTAAGGATAGGGCATGTATTGGAAAATCGCCAGCAAGTAAGTGAACTAGAATAGAGGGATATAGAACAAAAAAACTACGGGTTGATAGTCTTCTGCTTCACTTTTTTGATAATTTATTCTTAATAAAATGAATTTTCTACACATATCGCTAATCCGGAATTGCAAATAATTAACTACGTTCTGTTTCCAAAATCATTCTAATTCTGAAATAAAGATGAGACGACAAGGGATAGTAAAATCCACTCTATGAGCGAAGAGAAAATCAAAAAAAAATAACTGTACATAATCAATAAATCACACAATTTAGGTATTTACGCTGAATAAATCCATGTACGATCACAGTGCCATATGTAGTAAGTGGATATAAGCAATGGAATCCTTCAAGATCTAATTTCACCATCATTATTATCAAGGAAATATACTAAAATAATATAAGCATATTCTGCAAACAATATCTCAACTCCTATAAAAGAAATAGTGGTAGATGGAAACATCCAAATTAGGCCTCCTACTACTGCCAACACTATCCTAATAATTATTGGAACAAATATAAATGGAAACATATACTTACACTACTTGAACAAAAGTATCGCACATTATTTATTTATTAATTACACAAAATTTTACATAATAATTCTATTTAAAATTTTAATATATTATA